CAATGCCTTCCTAAACAGTCGTGAAGAAAGTGAAACACATATTAAAGTCGCATACCATCATTACATTCTGGATAGGTTAACCACAACATCCAATGTATGTAACTTTATCGACATTTGACAAAGATGCGTGAACATGTTTCCACCTATAACACCAATACAATCCTATATCAAACGGGAAGTTAATTTTATTTTTGAAGAAAATAAAAGGATTTCACTATACCTTGAAGTATGGCATATACCATTGATCGCATGATATTTCTCTAAGAATAGTTCAAAAAGTTGGATCTTCAGGCTTGATAAATTTAGGAGACAAACTTATCAAAACATTCAAATCAGTAGAGATATATCTATTGATGGTTTCAGATAAGTGTATAAATCTCTCGCATGCTAAACTTATAAATCTATTATAAAATAAAACATAAGGTGTTATGGCAATCACCTTCTTCGAAGTCATTCTAAAAGAGTCATGAAGATCATGACTATTATGCAGTTCGTTCAAAAGATCAATAAAGATTACTTGGCTCATACGAAACATGTTAAGGAATCTCCTTAAATGCCCCCAAGAAGTTCATTTACCCACTTATTCCAGGTAAATGTCGACGTTATACATGGAGTTTGAAAAATGTATGATTCATAGCATGCAGTCAACATACAAACAACTGTCGTGATAATTTTTATGCAAAGTTCTTTACCTACTTTGTTATTGAGTTTCATGGTTAAAAAATAATTAACATTATTACACAAAAGTTATATCACATGTTGTATATGGGGATCTAATGTTAGATAATCATAAGATAACACATGTATAAGAAAATTTTGATCATATTAAATGAGATAACACAACATTAGTGATAACACAACCGTTCTATCAAAATATTTTACAAAATGAAATTACATAACAACATTTGTTGTATTATAAAAATTAACTTCAAAAGTAGTTATTCAACTAAATTATCAATTACAATTCAATCAAAACATGTAGAGCCAAGATTAATCAAACATATGTTTTTCATATAAAAAGCATAAGTAATGAACTCTCCTCTCATGTGTCATGAACATAAGATTAACCTTCTTGACATGATCTTCAATTAGTTTCAATGAGTAGATAAACAACAGAATTCCTCGTAAACTTTCGATATATGTTCTAAAATCTTTATTGCATCAAGAATGGATGAAGATTGATGTGCAGTGGTAGTCTCAGAAGATAAGTTTGTACATGATATAACTAGCTCAAATATTTAGCTTCTTAGGTACGTAGGATCAATTTTTTTTAATACAACTTGCTCTTGTATTTAAAGAAGTTGGCGTTCTTGCATTTCTAGATTCATTAAGATCATTCTTGCCATGCTGTGACCTTTGAATATGATCAGTCGGGCTCTCTCTAGGCTATTGCAAACCTTGAGAAGTCCAATAATAGTCACCAATTGCAACAACCCCACCAACTATAACATCAAAATTCTCCTCTAGCTTTGGTTCAATTCCATCAGACCTAACTTTCTAAGCATTTGACACTATCTATAATTCATATAATCAAAAGAAGAGTTTATGTCTAAAAAGTGCACATGCAAAGAAAAATGTAAATACAAACTTATTAATATAGATTTCACCTCTAATTTCTCATTTCACCATTCTGCTAATGCATCTATAGTGTTTTTAGTTGGATCATAACCAACTCTAATAGATCCTCTTTTGAGTTCTTTCCAAATATTCCAATCCATTTTTAATTGGTCTCATTTATTATTTAATTGAGTTTAGTCATATTATTTTCTGCTTCTCTCTTGATTTTTTTTTTTGTAATGTTATGAAAACCTTATTTGTTGAAATATGTAGTTGGCATATATTCTAACTCAATCTCTTTCATAGAAATAGCAAAAATAAACATTATTGTTTCTTTGTCTCATACAACAGACGATGTGCAGTCTCTTGTGATTGTTGAAATGAGTTCATTACTTTAAGCAAATGACATCTAGCAAAAAAATTAAAAAGGACTTTATATACATACCACGAATGAAGGAAATGAATCGATGAATCGATTAAAAGAGCATCTAGCTGATAAACTTTCCCGCATTTATTCATCAAGGAAATGAATTGATGAATTTTTAAAAAAACTTTGACACATTCGAATCGAAGAATCTCCACAAGAAATATCAAAGACATAAGATCTTCAATCTTATTTGAGATTCTAATTTTGCTTTATAGTTAAATATGATCTTAGTAGAAAAAGTATCAATGAAGAAAAACACATTACATAGAAAACACTACATAGCAAGCAAAATATTTGAGATAAAGTTGCAACCAAAAAGGATATACAAGTTGCCCTCAATTTTATTTTTAGGCATAAAGAATGTCATTAATCATACCCATACTCATTAAGGAGACATTGTTAGGAACAAGTCTCATTAAGAAAAAAAAAACTATTATTGAAATTTGAAGAGGGATAGTAGTATCCCAGATCAAAGAGCAAACTTGAGTGCACTCATGTCTTTCAAATAAAAAGGAATACAAGGAACTCATCAGAAAATTCATTCATGGGATAGGTCTCAGTTAGCAAGCATTGGCATTTCACATTACATAACAAAATTTGACATTGCAATCCAAAATAGGCCAATCCAAAGCATCCGAACGAACCAAAATAGAATCACAGTGAATGAAATTGTTCACTTATTATTAAAAAAAAATCAGAATGTTGCCCAAATTATCATTGTAAGACAGGCTTTACACAAAAGCCATATATGTCTTCCAACAACAATATAATCACAAGAGATTGTGATAGATCAAATGGTACCAGTTGTTGGGTTGCACTAATAAAGCCAAAAAATCATAATTTACATCATTGAACATACAAGAACAGGGGCAAACATATCATATGAGCCGAACAACCTGCAAAAGAGTGTAGGCCCTCTAAAAATATCAAACAAAAAACCATCATACATTCCACCAATAACAAGAAGCATCTAGAAATCAAATTTCTAAGTAGCCAGAATAACATACTATCTTGAAAGAATAAGTGGTTGTGACTTTCTGAGAAAGTATTACAAAACTTCCGCCACCAAAAACAGAATAACGTACTAAATTGAAAGAATAGGTGGTTGTGAGTTTCTAAGAAAGTATTGCATCATTCGACATACACATATTCATTCA